TTTACAATAGCCAGGACATGGAAGCAGCCCAAGTGTCCATCGACAGAGGAATGGATAAAGAAGATGTGGCACATATATACAATGGAATATTACTCAGCCATAAAAAGAAAGGAAATTGAGCTATTTGTAGTGAGGTGGATGGACTTAGAGACTGTCATACAGAGTGAAGTATGTCAGAAAGAGAAAAACAAATACCATATGCTAACACATATATATGGAATGTAAAGAAAAAAAAATGGTTCTGAAGAATCTAGGGGCAGGACAGGAATAAAGACGCAGACATAGAGAATGGACTTGAGGACACGGGGAGGGGGAAGTGTAAGCTGGGATGAAGTGAGAGTGGCATGGACATAGATACACTACCAAATGTAAAATAGATAGCTAGTGGGAAGCAGCCACATAGCACAGGGAGATCAGCTCGGTGCTTTGTGACCACCTAGAGGGGTGGGACAGGGAGGGTGGGAGGGAGATGCAAGAGGGAGGAGATATGGGGATATATGTATATGTATAACTGATTCACTTTGTTTTAAAGCAGAAACTAACACACCATTGTAAAGCAATTATACTCCAATAAAGATGTTTTTAAAAAAAAATCTTGGTTGTATACCTGAAGCCCTCAGGCTCCCTGGGCTACATGCCCCCACCCTTCAGACGGACTTAATTGGTCTGGGGTGCAGTCTGGACATTGGAACTTTCCAAGGCTACTGAGCAATTCTAATGGACAGTCAAGGTTGAGAAAGGGGACTCACCCAACTAATCTTGTTTCAACCTTTTGGGACAACTGGCAAAGCTCAACTTAAATATGCCTGTCACTTTGTGTCCAGGGAACCTACTGCAGTTACCTTATGACAAAGCTGTGTGTGTCAATCTCCTGCCCGCAGCCGCTGTTCAGCAAGACCCCGGAGTTGCCCACGATGGCACAAGTCCCGAAGTGCTTGTTCTTCAGTGGAGAGGTTCTGGGGAGGAGCTCATAGAGGTTCTGGGACACGTTCATTGTGCTGTCTCGGTCGAAGATGTAATGAATAATATCTCCGGGTTTCAGGGTCCCCTTGAGGACAGAAATGTCCTTTTCAGCATCCAAGAACTTTAAGATTTGCTTCCTACGAAAACCAAACACACATGAGGAAAAAGTCTCCTGTTGCTACCTGCCCTTTGCCAACCCGGCTTTTCCTCCCCTTGGTCACCCTGCAGGGCTGATGCAGTCCAGCACACAGGGGCAGCTAGAGGTCAGATGCCCTCTGAGAATCTCTGGTTACACAGTTTTTAAAGTAAAATCTCCAGTTAGGATCCTCACCTTCCTAGGGGCAGGAATAAAACTTCCCTGGTAATTCTGAGAGGATTTCTATCCTTTTTCTGACCACATCTTATCCCGTCTATGTGTTTGACTGGAGAATCTCCAATCTCTGGTTCTGGGCAGAGACTGGCAACACGGCCCAGAGGCCGATCTAGTCCTACTTCTAGGAGATAGGATACCTGCCCTGGGAAATGACTTCATCAGGACTGAATGTGAGCTCATCATGAAGGGCCCTGGAAGGAAGGGTGACCTGCCATCCTGGTTTGCCTAGGAAAGCATGGTTTTAGACTGAAAGCCTTGTACCCCAGGGACAAACTGTACCTGAGTCTTGGGCAAACCCAGACCATGGTCATCCTATCTCATGCTCCCCTCTCTGAGTGGGATTCAGGGCCACCATCTGACAGGCAGTCCTGAATTAGGACCTGGAAACCGGAAAGACAGGTGCCCCTCATTCCTCAGTGGCCTATTTTCTTCCCTGGAAGCCTTCTCTGTGCACAGGGGCCTCCCAGGGGGCGAGTGGGTGTGTGGACACTGTGAGGTGTGTCGACCACTCCCCGTTTGCAGGACTGCGAACATGGTCTGCCGTCCGTGCACTGGTCCTTTCTGTGCTGTGTGCTCCCTGGCCCTCCTCACTGCTGGCTTGTTTGGAGTTTGTAAATATTGATACCTCTCTGGTCCCACAGAGCAGCGTTGCTTTGTGTTGTTTCAGAACAAAGGTGATCAAAAGACAGCTCTCTAGGCTTCAGCGTGACTTTGATTTATGAGGAAAGCTCCAGAATCATCTAGCAAAGCACATAGATGGGATGGGATGTGGTCAGAAAAGGGATAGGAATCCTCTCAGAATCACCAGGGGAGTTTTATTCCTGCCCCCAGGAAGGTGAGGATCCTAACTGGAGGTTTCACTTTAAAAAGTGTGTAAACTGCCCCAAAGATTTTTAGAAATGATTCAAGTCATTCAGAGAAGGAAATATGGTACCCAGATCACCTGGAATTAATTTCATTTCCTGCAGCTAGCGAGCCCCCATCTAGAACAGACACAATGATGCTGTTCTTTTCCGTCAAGCCCCAGAGGAACAGGACCTTCACACGCTTTGCAAATGTTAGGATTTGCAAGGTGGCTGCCCCATTGCACAGATGGTAACACTGATCCCTGAGAGCCTGTGTGATCTGAGATGGTCACAACCTGTGGTGTATCTCAGCAGGATGCACATTCAATTATTTGGGGAACTATAAAGAATTCAGAGGCTCCAGGCTGACGCCTGAGAAATCCCGATTCTGAGTGTGGCCCGGGTCTCAGCACGCTTTCAAAGGCTCCGAAGGGGACTCTAAGGTGGGTCCAGGTTTGGGGGCCTCTGGCGTCACCAAGGGGCACCTAGAATGCTTGACAGGGCACAACGCTCCTGTTCCACTGGTCTTGCCTTATCAATAATCTGGATCTCGTGCTTTCATGCAGGGGAAACCACTCTTGATGCATAATTTGTATCTCTTGATGGAAAACAGAGATACAACAGAAAACATCATTTTTATTTATAGTGCTTTACCCGGGGTTACACAACTTTACAAACTAATATGGTCTGGAAATTGCTGAAACCTTTGCAATTACTTACCCCCAGAGTATTTAAAAGCAAAGATAGCCCCCAGAAAGCCCATAGACAAACTCCTCTGTGCATGAATTAATTTCCAACTAATTGTGAGAAATTACTACTGATTATTAAACGTCATTCCACATCACTCACAGAATCTTTATTATGAATAATTTTGGTGACTAATTGAAGGCAGATGAAGGAAATCCTTTTCCCCCCTGGGTGAAGGCACATTGTTCCTGCCGAGGTAGCTGTGTGTTTGCAGGATCCCCATGGCGGCCACAGTCTGGTCTTCTCCGAAAGGGGGAAATATCCTTTTCTCTACCCAGTGGTGGGAGAAAGAGTGAGTGGAGACTGAGGTGGGCTTGTGCTGGCAGGAGGATTTCACTCACAGGTGGTGTAGTGGGGTGAATAGTAGCCTCCCAAATATATGTTCACCTCCTAACCCTGGAACCTGTGAGGTGCTTTATTTGGAAACAGCATCTTTGCAAATGTATTTAAATTAGGGATCTCGAGATCATCCTGATTACCCTGATGGGCCCTAAATCCAATGACAAGTGTCCTTATCAGAGATAGGAGAGGGGACACACAGACACAGAGCGAAAGGCCATGTGAAGACAAGGCGGAGACTGGAGTGACATGGCTACACGGCAGGGAATGCCTGGAGCCAGCAGAAGCTGGAAGGGGCAAGGACAGATTCTCCCTTGGAGCCTTCAGAGGGAGCGCTCAGAATTCTGACCCCCAGAACTATAGGGGAATCCATTTCTCTTGTGTGAAGCTACTGAGTTGGTGGAAATTTGTTACAGCAGTCCGAGGACTCGTGCTTCACAGGGCTGCTGACCAGGGGTGAGTAACGCAGGTTGGCAGCTGTTGGGGTGTAAGATGAAGGCCGAGGGCCCAGCCAGGGGCCCTCAGAAGAGGCCCTGAATGAGGGGAGGCAGAATGGTGGTGACAGGAGTCAGCTCCTTCAGATGCTTTCTCAGCTGCTAGGGCTCCAATCTCACACCTCTCTACTCCTCACACTTCCTCAGGCCCCAAATCCAAGCCTCAGGAACCTGGGGGTAGGGGCATTTTGACGGTGAGCCCACCTGAAGGGGGAAGCTCCCTGCTCTGTATGGTGGCTACGGTCAAGGCTGACCGCCATGCCCCAGCCCCCTGTTCTCAGCTTCCTATCCATGATGATGGGCTGGGAAGGTGGGGCTGTGATAGTCAAGGCTTTCCCGTCTGGTCCTGGTTACTGCACTGAGCTCATCACCCCCATTCCCTCCTCCTGATGGGTGCTCCAGCAACACAGCACAAACACCAGACTTCAGGCAGCAGCTTGGCATGCCTGGCAAACTCCTAATTATCCTTCAAAACCCATTGCTCCTGGCAAGCCTTTCCTGGCCAGCCCTTTTATTCCCCTTACAAAATGGAATACTCTCCTCAGTATGATCTATCTCCACCTATTTATATGAGGCAACACCGCCTCATGTGTACATCACACTGCCCTGCTCTATCTTTGTTACATTTATGCCTCCTGCCAGCATGTCTGATTCATGTCAGCGCCCCTGGTTCCCAGCACAATGTCTGCAAGTGAATGGCTGGGTAATACTGACCACTCTTTGCTGCGTCTATCACAGCTCTGTCAAAGTCAAGTGGCCAAAGTGCTGACATTGGAATCCCTTCCTTACAGTTCCCCATTCCCGCCACCCAGCAATGTCTGCACTGCTCTGGAAACGTCACTCTGCAAAGATCAGGACAAGAGCTGCTCTCTGGCTAAAACAGACCTCTCCCTTTGTGGTTAGGTGTCCCATCGGCTCCTGGGTCACCTGATGCCCAGTTGTAGCTTTTCTTCATGTCATCAGGGGGTGGCTGCCTACTCAAGCCACACGGGCTGTGGGAGGAGACAGCTCTCCAAAGACAAATGGGGGGACCATTGCCGCTGAAAGGGCATGGATGCCAGGCAAGGACTGCTGCTTTGGGGTCCTCTGGGAGAAGCCATCTGTGATCCCCCTGCCCCAGGCTCTCACTGCTGCTGACCCAAGAGCCTCACTCCCTCCAAACCCAGGACCTCAGCCAGTTGCTCCTGTCACTTCCCCAGCCTGAGTCGCCGCACACATGTGCTGGGCTGCCGGGCTTGCCTGGGGTTTTTATTTCCAATTGATCAGTGAGAGATAAAACCTGCCTCAGCGGGAGGTAAACATTTTATTTCTATCCTGACTTCTTTAGATGATGGAGAGCGGCAATTTGCCAGCTTGTGCCAAAGAAGGCCAAGTCTGTCTCTTGTCCTAGAGGTAATTACCACTACCTGATCCTCAGAGAGAGCGTTTGGTTGTGTCTCCACTTGGCCGAGGCTGGTTGGATGTTGCGCTTAAAGCCTTCATTACTTCTGTCAACAACAGCCGGGGACGAGGAGCCATTTATTACAACTTCAGCTCTGGAAGGGGGAAAAAGAAAGAGGAAGAGGGGAGACATGATCTGTTAGCAAGCCAATGACACGTCTAACAGTTTTGTTTTTGCACAAGCTTGAATGTAAACTTCTTCAGAGGAGCAAAATTGCAGTTATTACCTGAGAAGGGAAGGAAGTCTATTTATCTTCTAGAATGCACCAACTCTCTCCCTCAGGTATTACCTACATATATTCTGGGAGACAGGAAGGGGGTGATGAACTACCTTTCTTCCCACCCTCAGCCCCCGATGTCTCCTCCCAGTGAAACCTAGCCGTCACTGTCGTAATAGTAATACTTCAAGCCGCTTTTGTGAAACTCCGAAGAGCAGTTGAATTAACAACCAAGTATCATAAGATGGTTTACAAACTTAATAAAGAGGAAACAAAAACTCATATTGGGGCAATGGGATGTAGCTTTATCTCATTATCCCTCGTTTGTAAGATGCCACTTCAAACGTCTGTGTAGTTCCAGAGTTATCCTAGCTCTGTTTCTCTCTCCCACTAGATTGTAAACAGGGGAGTTCCCTCACTCATTTCTATATTCCCCAATGGTCTAACATAGCAGCTGCTAAATAAATGTTTGTTGAATTTGAATTTGAATTTGACCTTGGGGGGGGTGCCTGGATGGATGAAGTTGCTGGCTGGCTCTGAATGCCCGGGGCCAATCATAATTCTGGGTGCATACCATCTTTCCACCTGACTCAGGCGTTACAGGACCCGCTTGAATTCAGCTGTTTGAAATCTATGCTAGTAGGTTTCTATGAAACTAGGTTACGATTACATCTCAAAAGGCAGTGTAGGAGCCAGCCTGCCTCTGCTGGATGCACACAGATGCATGTGGGTCACATCGCAAGTTCCTTTTGTCTGTGCTGACAGCAGATTCTCTCAGTTAGAATGATAAGTGGATTTCTGATGCCAAATTCTGGAGCTTTAAAGAATTCAAACCAAACAACTATGTCCTCTGCATTTACCTTGGAACAGCCAAGTTAGAAAAGATGAAATCCTTTTAACAGGTCTAAACCCAACGCTCTATTTTGCTTTTTGTAGGTAGAAAGGAATTTATTTGGGGGTGCACGCTCTCCCCACATACCTCCATTCCCAATATTCCTGACTCCTCCGGCCGATATTACTTGTCTGGGATCCAAAAATATGTAACTTTTGCAGAGAACAGAAAATTCAAGGGTTTTGAGTAAGGTGGATGCATTCCTCCAGCCTGCAGGCTTAAAGGGAAAGCTATGAAAGGAAACAAAAGACCTGACCCTTTGCAATTTTTGCTGTTTTCATGAACAGAAGCAGAGGGTGTAGTGAAAAGATTTCATAAGCTGTGTGACTATGGGCAAATCACTTTATCTCTCTGAGCCTCAGTTTCCCCATTTATAGAAAGAAGGTATAGAAGAGGAAGATATCCTCTGGATGGGGACTGGGTAGCGTCCAACCATAGCCAGTGGCAAGCCTGAGTTTGTTGGCTTACAAGGCGTTTGCTCACACTCCTGTATCAAGCTGTCTTCTGGCCAAAGACCGTCATCCGAGGAAACACTCTTAGAATTTAGAGTGTGCCTTCAGTAATCAAGGTTAACATTTCTCAGTTGACTTCCTAAATATTTTTAAGAGGTCTCAGCAAATTTCCTGAATGCTCTATTTTCTATCTTTACCTCCTGGACAAGCCATCTACCACAATGAAATTGGGCGAAAGTCCTGATTCCTTTCAGAGTCTCCATTATTCGGCAAAAATTCAAGTTATGAATAAGCTCATTGGTGGCTCAAGTGCCTCCAAGTGAGTGGGCTCTTTTGCAGAAAGAGACTCTTACTCATCTGAATTTTCTATCTCTGCAGCCTCTAGACCTTGGGCCATTTCACGGGCTCCTCCTACCGACAACTCCCCCCGCCCCCCCAAAAGTGATTAGGGAAATGCAAAGCCAAAGTGAAACGAAACAGATCTCTTTGCTATTTGCTAAGTAAGAAGGGCACCATCCAGCAAAGAGGAGAAGCAGATTAATAGCTGCCTTACAGCAAAAACAAATGAACACAAAATCTAATTTACAAACCTATTAGATTTGCTATGTAAGCTGTTCACAGCTGATCTGATTGTACCTCTGCCTCCAGAATTCCTGCAAGACAAAGGAAATGCATTATTTATAAACCCAGCTCTTCTTTGCAAAGCCCTCTTCAGTTGCCAGGAGATCTCACAGCCCGCCTTGGAAGACTACAGAGGGACAATGAAATCTCACCTAGGCCTCTCCAGAAATGGGCAACCTCCTGGCCCAGCCACAAACCCAGGCATTTTCAAGGAAGTAGACCTCCTAGATCCTCCCCGGGCCTCTCACTTGGACATTGTTTCAATTCTCACCAAGGTTTCCACTTGAGAATTTCATTTGAGCTTTGAGACAAACTCCTTTGTATCCTCTGGTTAAGCCCATAGGCTAGCACGCTTGAGCCTGACTACGCACCTGCTGCAGCATGACTCAGTATTTCCTTTAGCCAGACTCATCCTTTGTCCGTGGTCTTCGCTGGCCATCACTCACCTGTGGTAAGACGTTGTCCATCACATGATCTCCAAACTTGAGACATCAGAAGTCCAACAGAGGCAGCAAGACTGACTCAACCAGTGCCTCCAACCAAATGTGAGAATGATTTGCTTTTTGGGGGCAGGAAATATAATATTAAGTGGTGTCACTTTACCAGGGAGCAGGAGATGGGTGAGTAATGGGGTCCTTTGCGTCTTCCTCTGGAGGAAAAGGTTTTTGGAGTAAAAGCATTCTAAGGCCCTTTCCAGCCCCACCACCTCTTCAGTTCTGTCAGATTCCATTCTGGATGGGGGCCATGAAGTTTAGCCCTGCTTTGCTAATCACACTGGGCCAAGGGGAGAGATGAATCTATCTGCCCCTGCTACCCAGCCCACTTTGTGCTCTGTGTGTGTTTTTTTAAAAGTTGTATGTGACACTAATTATTTTTATTAAGTTAAATAATTTTTTCACCACTGATTTATAGGATATGTGGTTTGAGGAGATATTTCTTCACACTTTTCTCATTTTTTATTTGGAGAGCTATAATTTTTTTGTGATTTTATTTTAATTTTTGAATTAACTTTTATTGGAGTATAGTTGCTTTACAATGTTGTGTTAGTTTCTACTGTACAGCAAAGTGAATCAGATATATGTATACATATATCCCCTCTTTTTTGGATTTCCTTCTCATTTAGGTCACCACAGAGCACTGAGTAGAGCTCCCTGTGCTATACAGTAGGGTCTCATTAGTTATCTATTTTATACATAGTATCAATAGTGTATATATGTCAAGTCCAATCTCCCAATTCATCCCCCCCCCTTCCCCCCCCCCCGGTGTCCATATGTTTGTTCACTACGTCTGTATCTCTATTTCTGCTTTGCAAATAAGATCATCTATCATTTTTTAACATCTATCATTTTTTAAAAGCTCCATCTAGCCTTTCAGCCAAGGTGTTGGCACACTCCAAAGAAATAATTAAAATCACTGCAAAAGCTGTATATTTAAAGAATCCTGTGACTTAATAAGAACTCTTTGGGGGAAGTTAATGCCTAGCTCCTCACTGGTTTTAAATCTGGATTTTTCTATCTGCTTTCTTTAGGATCCACATACTTGTAGATATAACACTGTGTGTGTGTGTGTGTGTGTGTGTGTGCGCGCGTGTCTTTTCCTGATAGATTGAAATGTCCTTTCAACATTATTTGGCAACAGGAAATATTCTGCCTCATAGCTGGATGACCAGGCAACAGGACGTGTGCTATGACTCACCCAGTGCCTCATCTCAGGTCTCCCTTCAGGTCTCAAATTTCATTACACACAGTCTAATTCTTAATTACACAGAGTATCATTGGTTCTTCACATTTAAATCGATGCGTAATATCTCTTTTTTGTCTCTCTTCATTTACCCTTGGGATGGCGGCTTTCTCACACGTCTAATCCAAGGTTCTGGGAATACCTGGCCATCTCTGGCCTGTAGCCATAATCTACTTAGGTCAGTGCCCAAGGGCTTTCCTGGGCCCGCTGCTGTCCACATGACACTGACCTTTCACATGTCCTGACCCTGACCCCAGTCCTCAAAATCAGCACTCCTTGGGGGAGGGAAGACTTGCTGGGCCAGATATTAAGTCAAGTAAGTAATTAAAAGTGTGGTCATAGCTCAATACTAATGAAAGGTTATTGGAACAAAAAAGATTGTCTAGAAATGCTGCACACGAGAATTGATGTATGATTTTAAAAAATCATTATCAATGAGAAATTCAATAAATGGTTTGAAGTAGTTGATTAATAATCTGGAGGTGAGTTGGAAGGAAATCATGTAAGTGTTCCCTGACTTATAAATTTCAAGTGGATTTAACTAGTGTTTCTCAGACTTTAGTAATTCTCATATTCCTATCAGCAGTTTGCCATATTTTGTTTATCACCCATACTACTGTCTACTTAAGTTTTTAAATTGACTCATCTTTTAAAAACTTCTTAACCTACACAAGACCATTTGTGAAAATATGGGTTTGATATCATGATTATATACTCATTTGAAAAGAACACAAAACCATTACCACAAAAATATTTATCAGTGGAATTCCTAAAATCATCTTACTTATTACCAAGCATACTTATAGCACCTCTGGGGAAGACTGAATTAAACAGTTAAATATTTAAAGAAGGCAACCCATACAAAATTGGTAAGAAAATGGAAGAGGATATTTATCAAATCTTGATGAGGTATAAGGAATATATGTGAAGGACTTTTAAAATTCAGAAGTGGAAGAAGAAATCCTAAGAGAAAATATAGTTTTAAAAAAATCTTCATAAAAATTTAAAATTCTGCTTATACAAACAGCAAACCTCAACAACCTCTGCTCAGCACCTTTCTTGAAATCTGAGAGGACTCCAGGTGAGGTGAGCACTGCATCTGTGCATCTATCTGGTTTAACGCAACCAGGGGTTTGGAGAGGACTCAATGCTGAGCAACAACTTCCTCCTGCTTTCTCTTCTCCTGCCTCCAGGCCGGGTCCTGGGGAGCATCCAGTCCTGCTGACGTGGGCACCACAAACCATGCACTTTTTCATACCAATCCTTCCTCTAACTCTGGGTTTCCCCACCTCGGCACTATTGATATTTCAATGTGGGTGTTGGGGGTTGGGCAGCTACCTGTGCATTGTAGGGTGTTCTAGCTGCATCCCTGGCCTCTACCCACTTTATGCCAGGAGCAGCCCTCCCCACACCCCCAAATTGTGACAACTAAAAATGCCTCCAGACATTGCCAAATGTCCCCTGGGGCAGGGAGGCAAAATGGCCTCCATTTGAGAACCTCTGCTTTGACATTTGTTTTCTACCTAATGCCTCTGAGAAGATGAATCCCCTCCATCAGCCAACCCATCCCATCACCTTCCTGTGCTAAACCCCAAGCCCAACACCTGTGCTTCCCCTCAAAACCATCTTAGTTTTCACTTCTCAGCCACCTTTTCCTTCTCTCCCTAAAGCATTCTATTACAGCATTTGTCACCTTTTCACATTTAATTATTTCATGGAATCACAGATGGGAGACTTTAAATAAATTTTGTCATTGACATAGTCTAAACTCCTCCTCTTATAGTTGAAGAAACCAAGGTCTAGAGATTTGGTTCTGGTTTCGTCTTCCTCAGCTGCTCGCCACACTAGAAGGGAAGATCCTGGATTGTGTGCATTAACCATGTCTTTTATTTTCTTTATCTGATGCTTTGACAGCTGGGACCTTGCTGACTGTGGAGGGACAGCTCCTCTCAGGGTTAGCAAATTCCTAGAGATAGTAAACAACTGGCCTGGGAGTGCACCTTTCAAATACAAGTCAACTAATCTAGAGCCCATACCCCTGCCACCTCCCTTAGTGGGATCTTATTCTCTGGGCCACTATCCACCTGCCATAATCACCTGGAGCTAGGTACCAGACATCTATGCATCTATCTGGTTTAATTAACGAGGGGTTACAGTTGTCCTAGACAGGTAGGACAGCTCCTATGCCCCAGGGTCTGCTGAAGTTATCCAAATTAGCCAATCTTAAGCCTGCTTACCCTGCTTCACCCTTCCTCCCTATGGAAACCACAATAAAGGCTTTTGTCCACAGTTCCCTCTCCCCTCCCTCCTAAGTGACCTGGTGCTACTCCACGTGGCCCTGCATGATGTGGTGTGCCACCCCTCTTGGAATGTGGGAGTATAACACACTACATTTTCAATGGTGGTCATCTCCTGATCTGTTGGCCTGACCATACCTAAATAATAATAAAACCTATATTAAAACAGGGGGACCCTGTTTTTTTCACCTTCCCAACCTTGCATAGTACTTTGTCCAGCTGGGGCTCAGTGAATCAAATCTAACTTCAGTGCTAAGTGGGACTTTTCTTCCAAAGTCTTCCCTGCAGTTTGCATGCTGTATTCACACATATTACTTATACCTGTACAAGACACAGTTTCACCTCTCAGATACCCAGAGAACGGGGCAGACTGTCATTCAAAGAAACTCAGGTTGCAGATAATTTGGCTCAAAATGAATCCCATGAACTGGCAAGGGATTTTTTTTTCTAATTAGGTTTTGCCTCCATTGTTATTAAAATAAGCTTTCATCCCTTGTGATTGGGGAGTGCTGATACCTGCTTGGTTGGGTGACAGAGGAAGATGGTCAGGTGAGAAAAATTTGCTAAAGAAAATTCATCAACTTCTGAAATCATAGAAACAAAGATGCTTAGGTCATCCAAATGAGAAAATATATGGGAAAGCTCTTTGCACACTATAAAAAACTCTATAAAACAAGGTATAATATTAGTAATAATCCCTGTCCACTTGACCCTACCCAATATTCCCAGCCATAGTGAGGATGGAGTCTGATTACTCCAAAGCTCTACATTTTAAGATGTCAGTCTCCTTTCCACCATGAACATAATACTCTTTCTGAGCAGTAAACTAAGACAAAAAATAAAAATAGCCTGTTTAAAAAAATAATAACAGGGACTTCCCTGGCGGTCCAGTGGTTAAGACTTTGCTTTCCAACGCAGCAGATGCGAGTCCAATCCCTGGTCAGGGAGCTAACAGAAGCAATATTGTAACAAATTCAATAAAGACTTTAAAAGTG